GGGGAGCCCGATAGGAACAGACTGAGCAAGGGCTAGAGCCAGTTTGGATTTTCCAAGGAGCTCAGAGCAGAATAAGACGGTGTGTTCGATGGAGGGCGTAGGGTGGTGAGTGGAAGGAGCAGTGGGGTACCCACGTTGTGTTGGGGGGTGCCTACAAACCCACATCTCAGTCACAGCCTGCATCGCTGTGTGCAGCCTCACATGCAGCCTCCCACTGTGCCACCCCTGGGATGCGCGATGTTGCACAAGGGGAGGGAGCTGCGGGTGTGCGGGTGCTAGGCGTGCACACACGCGCACACACAGTCTCCACTGCGGGCATTCTCGGTTCCCTCCAACTCACACCCGCCCAGGCCCCATGAAGCTCCCACAGGCGGTTACCCCGCAGCCACTCCGCCAGGGGCACTCCCCTTCCCCTTCCCCGCCCTCCTCCCCTTGCTGGGAGGGGGGAGGCCTAACTCGCCCGCGGGTGGCGCGGGGTGGGGATTTCCTAGGCCCGTGCTTCTGTTGCCAGCCCTGCGGCTCCTGTGGGTGACGACACCCCAAGACGCTGAGGCTGGGCTTGGGGGCAGCGGGCCGCCAGGAATTCCAGCTAAGGACCCTAGTTAGGCTCGGAAGGTCCAGTGGTCGCCGCTGCCTCCCAGAAGCCTATGGAAATCCGGCCTCCTTTTGTGTGCTTGGTTGTTAGGGTCTGGGGAGCATAAGGGGTGCAAGGTCCCCACTGCTGCGAGCCGCCCTCAGGAAGGCTTTGGTGGGAGCTGCTCCTGCCCCCTCATTTCCGCCCTGTAGTCCCAGAGCCTACAGATCTTCCCTTCCTTCGGGAGGAGTCGCAAGACCCAAAAGCTGGAGGCGGCGGCGGCGGCGACTTCAGGAGTCACCCATCAGTGGGAGCCAGACCGGAGGCGCCAACGCAAAAACGCAGGACGAGTGAGTTCCGGGCGCCCTCTAGGGGCCGCGTGGGGAGAGGCGCCTGGAGGTAGGGCCCTGGGAACCTGGGTCTGAGGGAGCCCTTGGGAGTACTGGGGCGGCTGCTACCAGCCATGGTGGAAAATAATAACGATAATAATATTAAATATTTAATTAATTAATTAATTAATTAATTAATTAATTAATTAATTATTTGAGAAAGAGCGGGCGGAGGGGCAGAGGGAGAGGAACAAGCAGAGTCCCCACTGAGCAGGGAACCCCACACGGGCTCCCAGTACCCCCAGATCATAACCTGAGCCCTAGTTAGACGCTTAACCAACTGAGCCATCCAGGCGCCCCAATAACCGTAATAATATTAATAAATAACAGTATTGAGTGTTTGCTGTGTTCAAGGCACTACACTAGGTTTTAAAAGTACTAATACAGGGTCGCCTGTACATTTCCAACAACCATCCTGTGAGGTAAGTGGTATTTTCATCCCACTTTACAGACAAGGAAAATGGAAGACCAGAGAGGTTAAGCAACTTGCCTAAGAGCTTGCAGTTGGTAATGGGGCAGTATCCCGACCCAGGGTCTAACCCTAGAGCCAGGGTCTCTGGGAGGGATGGCTGAGTCCAGGGGTGCGGTGGATTTGGGAAGGATTGGAGGTGAGACCACACCAGCCTCCTCATTGGATTTCTCTTATTGTGGAGGCTCTTAGCCCAGAGATCCACCGGGAGATTGCCTTCTGGGGCTCTGGAAAAACCACCTCCAATCCACTCCAGTCCACTGGGCCTCCTTCAGCTCTGACTGTCCCCTCCACCCCTCAAGGACCCATCCTGGAGCACTGCCAGCCCTGTGAGACCTCCTCCTCCTTCTTCCCCATACTTGTCTAGCACCCATCCTCTGGGCCTTCCCAGCCTGGGCTTGCCTCCTTCTAGGAGCCCTCTAGGATTAGAAGGAGGTTCTCTGCACTTCCCCTCCCTCTTCTGGGTCAGCAGGGTGGGAGGATTCAAACAAGCAGAAAGTTAAAAATAGAACCAAATGAATTACGCTTTATTAGACAAAGGAGTAGAGAACCAGGAAGGAAAATCCTTCCTCTCCTTTTCCATCTGCTCTGTGCAAAGCCTATAGCTCTGGGCTGGAGAATGGGCGAACAGGTTGGGGTGGATGGGAGAGTGCAGCTTGAAGTTCTGAGAGCTGGCAGGGATTTTTTTTTGACCATTTAGACAGTAAGGTTCAGTCAGAATATGAAAGGAAAAGAGAGCATGGCCTTCCCTTCTTCCCCGCCTCCTCCAGAGTTGTAGGGGAGTGTCCCTGGGAAGGTTCTTTTATATACATTATAAGGTGTATTCATTTTTTAAAGTAAGCTGTATGCCCAACAAGGGCCTTGAACCCACAACCCTGAGATCAAGAGTTGCATGCTCTGCTGACTGAGCCAGCCAGGGGCCCTTTTATTTGTATGTATGTATGTATGTATGTATGTAAGCTCTATGTCAAACATGGGAAGGTGTATTCACTTGTATTAACTTATATATAAATAGATTCTGCCAGTGTCTTAAACTTGAATATGTTGGAATCACTGGGGATCTTGTTAAAATGCAGATTCTCATTTATCACATCTGGAGTGGGCCTGGATCCTGAATTTAGAACAAAATTCAGGTGCTGTTGATGCTGCTTGGAGGATCAAGGTCGTAAATTATCACCCTTTGAGATTTAATCCTGGGTTCTCCAACTTGCCTGTCACATATGGCCTGCAGCCTTATTTTATTGCCCAGGAGTATTTTTTTCCATTTTATTTAAAGAAATGAAATATATAGACACGAGTGATACCCCTTCTGATATGTTTTAAAATGCATTCTTCCCAGGGGGTGCCTGGGTGGCTCAGTCAGTGAAGCATCTGGCTTGATCTCAGCTCAGGTCTTGATCTCAGAGTCTTGAGTTCCAGCCCGGGGTTGGGCTCATCGCTAGGTGTGGAACCTACTTAAAAAAAAAAAAAAAAAAAAGGCACTCTACCCTATGCCACATGCCTCACCCACTCCCTGTTATCTTGTGTCCTGCCCCTTCCCTGTCACCTACAGTGGCCCCCTCCGATCTCCCATTTCCTCTTCTCCTGCACCTGTCCCTCTTTCTAAAATCCTCTTTCACTCCTAGGCGGCTGCTGAGGTGGCTTTGGACGTCGGCCTAGGTTTTGAGCTCAGCTTCTCTGCTTCCTAACCTCGGGCAAGTTAATTAAATTTTAGGAGGCTACCGTTTCCTTGCCCAAATTATAGAACCAACCCTTTCCCGGATTACCGAAGGGATTAAGGAGATAATGCAGGTAGAAAACGCTTGGCTCTTGGCTGGTACTCCAGGAAAGGCGCAGGGAACCCCGGGGTGGCTTGACCCGATTTTTCTACGCACCAGGCAGGGGTGGGGCGGTAGGAGGCACGTCCTACAAACTGCAGGGGCGCCGCCCTCCCCATCCCATTCCCAGACCCTTGATTTCCTGGGGAAAGTGGAGTGGCGGGCCTCCCCTCCAGGAGCTTTCCCTCCTCAGCGCCTCCGGGGCGGGGGGGAGGGGGGCTATTGTGCATTAAGTGCTCTGCCCGCCCCTCCAAGCAAGGAGATTAGCGAGTCCCCCGCTTTCACAGGCGCCCGGCTGTCCGTGGGGCGGGCGGGTGGGGAAGGAGCTGGTGCTGATCCTGTCCGGCTGGGTGGAGACCCAAGGGAGGGAACCCTCAGTGAAGACCCACCCAGCCCTAGAGCCCTCCCGGCCTCCAGGCGCCCGGCAGGGGTGGGGTGGTTGCCGGAGCCGGGCTCACCACTCCCCCACACAAACCCCTCCGCGCGTGTGCACAATGTCACGCTCAGGCTGGGTGTCAGCCTGAGACCCCGTGTCCACACAGCTCGACAGTCGTGTTGCGTGTCTAGACATTTACCCCCTCGTTCCCCCAGAGGTCTTGGTTACACACCAGCTGCTGTTCCAGACCTCACCCTCACATTTGCCTCTAGTCCAGGCAAACGCAGGAGGGCGTGCATTCACCCATGTGTTTCCCAGGGGCCACAGGGCCACCACCCGACGGCACACAAACGGCGGGGCGGATGCTGCGGGTTCACAGGAAAGCGCTTAAGGGGCCCTCGCGCGGTCTTTCACCGGTTCCCTTGCCGTCAAGGGGAAGCCAGCTCCAGCAGGCTGGCACACGTGTTAGGAGCCTGGCCTGCGAGCTCACAGACGCTCAGGCAGATACTCTTGAACCTATTTCGGAATATCCACAGGCTTTGACTTTCCCTTTCATATCTCAGGCCAGAGATTGGGCTCCTCCCGGTCAGCACAGGAGCGGCACGGTTACCGAATGGGGTGGATTCCGCTGAGGGCTGGGCAGGAGGAGAGGGAGAGAAGGCAGTTTATTAACCCCACAGAAGTCCCAAGTCACCTCTGCGTTTTTAACTACTGTCCTAGGGCGCGGTGAGGTGCGGTCCTTCACGACAGGCTCGCAGGGCACTGGCCCGCCAAGGCTCCTCCAGCCCGTGTACAGGACCGGTGAGAGCAACCGGCCTAGACCCGGTGGGAGAGGCTTGTAGGGCAGAGAAAACGGAGGGGCGGCGGTGTGTGAGAGACGCGATGTTTCTCGAGAGGCAGTCGGCTGAAGCGGCGGGTCTTTGGAAGGCCTGGGGGCCTTTGGTTGCGCAAACTGAGCAGAGCTCCCAGTTCAAAGGAGGCGCCCTGCAATCCCTGAGCCTTCTGCGCTGGGGGGTGGGCTCCCCGCTCCCTTCCACGCAGCAGCCTCGCTTCCTCGCTTGCCACCGGGCGTCGCTGCCAGTTCACAGGAGCCCGGGGAGCGGCCACCTGCAGGGAGCGGCCCCGCGGTGCGCCAGAGACGGCCCAGGGCGTGGGGAAGCTCCGCTCCCGGCGAGCCGCGGCCTCCCGCCCGTCCGGGCGAAAGCTCTGTCGGGAAGGTTAGGAAACGATTCACAAGCGTCCGGCCTGTCGGCGCCCGGACAGCAAAGGACACTCGGGCAGGGGACGCCGGGTTGCAATCTACCAGAAGTGCGAAAAGGACGAGAAACGGACGCTCATTTTGAGGCCCGGCAGGCCGTCCGGGAAGAAAACGCCGCCTGCGTCCAGCTATTGGTTCCGACCGGTCGGCAGACTCGAGCCTCCCCCCGGCTCTGGCCGGGACTCCGCCGGCCGGGAGGGCTGCGGGCCTGGCTGCCTCGACGCCACGGCGGCCGGAGAGTGCCGCAAACCCGGCCGTTTCCTCCGCGGCGGGTCCCCCCGCTCCGCCGCGAGAGCCCGAGCGCGCCAGGCTGGGAGGGACTTCCGCCGCCCTGCGCTATCCTGGGCTGCGGAGGGTGTCCCGGGAGGCGGCGCCCCGGGCCGTGGCCGAGAAGGGCTTGCTTTCTATTCCTGCGCTCCAGGGCCCAAGGCCCAGGCCGCACGGCCCTCTCGAGACCAGCCCTCGGGTGCTCCTGTGGGTGCATCGCTTCCTGGGACAAGACCCGGGCCTGGGCAGGAGAGGACGCGGCTCCCTCGCTTTTTCTGCCGGCTCCGGACCAGCCCCCCGACTCCCCTCCAGTATTGATGGGAAAGGGGCGCCGAGCCATGCCCTGTCCCGCTCCACTGCGGGACCCCGGGCCGCAGATTCGCTCCCGTGAGTTTGGGGCAGAGACTCAAGCGCCGCGCTCCACCGGCCCGGACGTGGCACCGCGCCTCGGCTCCCGGGAACCGGACGCGCCCAGAGGCAGAGAGGTAAGCGCTTGGGAGCCCATGAAGGAGTGCGGGCCTTCCGGTCAGGATTCATCCAGTGGCCAGGAGGACAAGGGCGAGGGCTCCAGGGCTCCAACCTGGAAGGAGAAAGGCGCACTTCCACGTGGCTCTCGAATGCAAAGAAGCACCACCCAGAGCCTCCTCCTCTCCAGTCCCACCTGCGTCCTGCTCCTCTCGGGGCCAGGCTGAGAGAGAAGTCCAGGTGCTGTTGTTTTCGTCGAGCAGAAAGCACAGCTGCGCCTGTATGGCTGGGAAGCTGCCCCGCAGCTGGGCTGGGAGGGTCCTCACGGTGAATGCTGCAGCCTCCTCGTTACATTCCTGGGAAGGGCAGGAATCCTAGGGGAAAGGGAAGAGCAAACCCAGCCCTGACCGCTCCGCTCCAGAGGGCTGAACTTTCCCTACATCTCTGCCTTTGTGGCCCTTGGAGGTAGGAGTAGGCGGTAGGAGTGCCCAGTCCTTTGGATCGCTGGGCCGCAGGCCTGGCACCTGTCAATAGCCACCCCAGTTGTCCTGATAAATGGGTCTTCTTAGTGACCCGAGTCCACAAAAGAGACCTGGGGGAAACATCAACCCCTTCCAACCAGTACAGGACAGAAGCCTGTCTCACCTACACAAGGTTCAGAGAGTACTTTTCAACCCTAGCCTGCAGAGAATACTCCCCTTCCCTGAACACTTGATTTTCCCCAAGCCCATCAGTGTGTAAGTCTGGGTTCAGCTAACTCAAGGGAAAAATTCACTTATTGCAGGGATACTAGGAGAGGCAGGAAGACTGAAGAATTAAGGAAAATCCATTTTAGGAAACACCACAGGGTCAAGGGGCAGGAAAGCTTGATTAGGGCACTGCTGCGGGCACCCCATCACTAGACTCTGGGCATGGGCATCACTGTGTATAATTTCTAGTCTCCTTGCATCGTTAGGACCTTCACTCCCTCAAGATTCCAAGCGTTCTGTGGGATCGTTTGATTGGCTAACTCTAGGACACACGTCCAGGCACCAGCTGTCAGAGATGGGGAGAGAACAAACATAGTCCCTTAGGTTTCTATATGAAAAGCTGCAACTCCTCCACCAATATTTACCTCATTTGGGGAATGTCTCCCAAATCAGGAAGAGTGTTCAGATGCTAGGTTTAAAAAGAAGAAAGTGATAATGTCACAGGGCGCCTGGGTGGCTCAGTCGGTTAAGCGTCTACCTTCAGCTCAGGTCATGATCTCAGGGTCCTAGGATGGAGCCCAAGCCCAGGGTGGGGCTCCCTGCTCAGTGGAGAGTCTGCTTCTCCCTCTGCCCCTCCGCCCGCTCGTGTTCTCTCCTGCTCACTCTGTTCTCACTCTCACATAGATAATCTTTTTTAAAAAAAGAAAATGATGTCACTACAGTCCACCCCTTTGGCTCAACATCCACATGTGCCTTTCTTTCTGAATTTACAGTCCTTTCCCCCACAAAATGCTCCCATCCAACATATGCTGCTATCTATCACTCATACAGACTATATTCAACTTGCCCCCAAGGAGACAATCCAGACCTCATAGCTCTAGGTTGGGGTCAGGATCTTTATTTTATTCCCCTTCTAGTTCCGTTGGAATCTTGTCTCAGTATTCTGCAACCTGTGGACTAGACCAAATTATAAGGTTAATCATCATCATACATAACACAACAGCAAGGGAATAAAAACTGGAAAAATGCAAGTAAGTTAAAATATACAAGCATCTACCATGATAAAGTTTAGGAGGTGAAAGCCCCTATCTTTCTTTCTGCAGTATGAGATTCTATTTTGTATTTATGACATCCCTCCTCCTTTTTCCATGCCATGTTTCTTTTGCCTTCAGCCAGCACCTGAGCGGGTTTGTGTTCTCTACTCAGGGAAGAAGCAAGCCTTTGTTCCTGAGGATCTGAGCCCTTGATGATCCTGCCTATGAAGGCTGTGGTGGTCTTCCATTAACTTTTACCACCGGACATTAACAGCACTGGGAGGCAACCCAAGTTGGTTCCATGAGTACTTCTTGTTGCCTATTGTGTAGAGTAAAAATCCTAATTGACCTTGATATTCAGAATTAATCACCTTCGCCAATCCCACTATCCCCTTTTAATCTATCCATCCATTGGCAAGAGCAACCGTAAGTGACCAGGCAGCAATTTCTGCTTCTAATTCAGTAAAAATATTGTTTCTCCTGGTGGGAACTTTCTTCTCTCCAAGACTCTCTAACTTTAATGCAGCAGAAACAAGAGTCACAGGAAATGAGGGGGTCAATGGGTACTTGTAGAAAGTGCCACCCCTCTTTCTGGAGCTCTGGGAGAAATAGCATCCTGATATTAATCTCTGGTTCAAAGCATATACCCCCTCCTTGAAGTACTGCACCCCACCATCACAAAATTCTAAGTTGTTCTAAAAAGACTCCAAAAACACAATGGCTCAAACAAGATAAAAGTTTATTTTTGTCTTACAACTAGGGAAGAAAGATAGCTCTGCTCTGTGAACACATCTAGAGACCCAAGCTAATGAGGAAACTCTGACAGCCTCAACAGGTGCCTTCCAAAGTTGCCAGTCCTGGCCGCAGGAAGGAAAGGGTGCAGCAACTCCAAAGCAAGCTCTTTCAGAAGATGACTTGGAAGCTGTACCTATCAATTCCACCCACATTCCATGGAGGAGAACTAGCCATGAGGGAGGCTGGGACATGTAGTCCCTGGGTGGACAACCATTTGCTCAGGAGGAAGGGAGATGGAGTGTGAGGGGACAAGCCATAGTCTTTACTACACTATTCCATGGATCTATAAAGTCAGCTGCTTCTGGATGATGGGATACATAAGTAAGATCAGTGAATCTCATGGACATTAGCTTCTTTTTTTTTTTTTAAACTGCAAAATGAATTCTTTTTTTTTTTTTTTTAAGATTTATTTATTTATTTGAGAGAGCGAGAATGAGAGAGAGAGTACATGAGAGGGGGGAGGGTTAGAGGGAGAAGCAGGCTCCTCGCCGAGCAGGGAGCCCGATGCGGGACTCGATCCAGGGACTCCAGGATCATGACCTGAGCCGAAGGCAGTTGCTTAACCAACTGAGCCACCCAGGCGCCCTGCAAAATGAATTCTTAAGAAGCCATGCTGTGGGGAAATCAGATAGTTATAAGGCATAGAGTAAGTCCATGGATGATAGTATTGGCAGGTGACACTCAGTGAAGGCATATCCACTGGATAGCTCCCTGGTCTCCCTGGGGTTATAGAACAGTATGGGGGACTTGGGGTTGATGGCTGCTGCTGGCAATTTGGGCATCTTGTAGTGATGGTAACCAGGTTAGCTTCAGTGAGATGTTGCATTCATACAGAGCTTTCATCTCCATCTTGGGGCCATCTGTTCCAAAGCAGGCCCTGAGGTTCCCTGGGATAGGAGACTGAGATCTGGGCGGGGCGGGGGGGGGGGGGTTATCTCCACTTGATGATTAAGAACGCTTTCTGTAGTGGGAGGTTTTTAGTGACCAATTCCCTAAAACACAAATATTTTCACACTCTATATCCATCCCCAAAGATTCTTTTTTATGCTTTTTCCTTCCTCTTCCTTGCCCCAGAATCTTTAATTTCCTTCCTTTCAAGTCCTTGCCATCTGTATTCAGCCACCGCCCATACACTCTATACAAATGCTTACGTCGGGCCGCCTCTCCCTACAGACTGAGTGAGCCCCAAAAGATACTGTTCCGCATTCTGCCCACGGGGAAGCCTTCTCTTCTCTTCTGTACAGCAATGGGCCGTTTCTGGCCAGGGTTGGCGTACTGCACTATAAATTAGACTTGAAATTTTTCTTTTTCTGCCATCTGGTGTTAGGGTATTCCCCATAGGCTCAGAGATGTGGAGTGAGGGGTGGCACATCACAGTGTGGGGGGGGGCGGGCAAGTTGGCTGCCTGTGGTAAAAAATGTAAGGAGGCCCTCACTGTCAGGGTCATGCAAATATTGGGTCAGCACCTGAGTGAGGGCCTCAATAAATTTACACCTTAGGCCTGTCGTCCACCTCACCCTAGTCCAGGCCCTGGTGAGTGGCCTGCATAGGATGCTTGCTTATGCCTTCAGGACCTACTTGGACCTGATCCCACAGATTCCATTTCTACCTGATGGACTCTAAAGGATACAGCCAGCACATGGCTAGGTAGACCAGATAGCAGCTGGCTCAGTCCATCTTGGTGGCTCATATACACCAAGTGATTTATAGCAAACCCAGGCCTTCTTCTGTAAGTAGCTATGTTCTTCTTTATTTTTTTAACGTAGGCTCCGTGTCCAACATGGGGCTTGAACTCATGACCCTGAGAAGATTAGGAGTCACATGCTCTGCTGACTGGGCCAGCCAGGCACCCTGTAGCTATTTTCTTTTGAGGGGAAAAAAAAGGCTCTTGGTTCTTTATTGGGCCATGAGAGCTGCCTCCACTGTGACGTGCTATAGGCCCCATACAGCGCCCTGATGGGCCATAGAAAATACGAACTTTCTCCAAGGCTCATCCATGTCCTACCATCTCTGATAATTAAATGGAGACGTGAGAGGAAACATCACCCTTCACTTTTAATGTCTTTTATGGTGTAATTTTTGCAATTCCTCCAGGATATAGCTTTTTAAAAAGATTTATTTATTTATTTATGATTTATTTATTTATTTATTTGTCAGAGAGAGTGCACAAGCAGGGGGAGTGGCAGGCAGAGCGAGAAGCAGGTTCCCCGCAGAGCAGGAAGCCCAACGCAGGACTCAGTCTCAGGACCCTGGGATCATGACCTGAGCTGAAGGCAGACGCTCAACTGACTGAGGCAACCGACTGAGGCACCCAGGCGTCCCTAAAGATTTATTTATTTATTTGAGAGACAGAGAGTGAGCACGGGGAAGGGCAGAGGGAGAAGGAGAGAGAGAATCTCAAGCGAACTCCCCACTGAGCATGGAGCCCGGCATGGGGCTCAGTCTCATGACCCTGAGATCATGACCTGAGCTGAAATCAAGAGTCTGGTGCTCAACCGACTG